TCAATAATTGAGACAGAGACCTATTGATTTATGTAAACAATCCTTAAACAGGTATGATTTAAACTAATTTTCTAAGCTAGTCTGGCTACCTTCCAGCTGCACTCCCCAAGTTGCTTGCCAATATGTTGTCCTGTTTGGCCTGGATCTGCTTCATCAGGCTGTATTCTCTTCTATCTTCTTGTCTCTCTCTCTCTCCACATCTCCCGGCCTTGGCCTCATGATCACTTCCTGAGAACCCAAGCCTGAGAACCAAAGCTCCACCTATCTTTATTCTGCCCAGTGTTTGGCTGTCAGCAAGTTTATTAACCAATCAGAGATGATTGGGGAGCACAGTTTACACATCACTTGGTATACATGAGAATGTACTCATCTGGACTGCAATCAGATCTTGGGGGGCCAGTATTTAGCATTTGAATGCACAGTAGCACCAGACCAAACCCAACAAACCTTTGTAAAAGAAGTAGACTGGATTTGCCGAGGGACATGGAAGCTGGCGAGAGGGCTGAGAAACTTTGATGTTGTTTTGGGGGGGGTGCAACGTGGAGCTGTAAGAACAGACAAACCTGGGCTGTCTTTTGTCTGTTCAACTTCAGTGGTGCAGAGGACCCAAATGCCAGGCTAAGAACCTTTACAATAGCACTCCCTGCACCACTGATTGGGACTTTGGTGACACTGAGGAGGAATATCTAGTGGAGACAAGGGGATCTCAAACCAAGGCGGGGAGAGGGGAATCACAAACAACCACATTGTACTTTTTCCTTTCAAAAATCACACAACTTTCTCTCCTAGTCTCCCTGACCCTAGCTCACCAGAAAGGCATCAAAGAACACACTTACTACATGGCTAGACTGGTACCAGAGTAGGCAGATGTGTGAAGTGGAAATTTCTGGTTTCTTTGAAGACTCAGCTTTGTCTTGTGATGTTTTGCTGAAGGTTGGCTTGTGAGAGGCACGTGATGTTTTGCTGTGAGTTCTCATGTGTGAGGGGTCAGCCGAGAACATTTGTGGGTAGACTCTGAGGAGAGGCGATATATAGAGACCTATGCACAGAGAGACATCGTTTTTTGGATCAACATTGCTGTGTTGATCCTCGTGGTTTGACACTTGACTTTGCAGAACGAGACATTCCAGAGAACTTCTGGGGCAATCCAATTGAGTCTTGTGGCTTTCGCCAACTTGTCCCAATCTTCCGAATCCTATTGCTGCTTGGTGTTGGCCTTTGGACTGGACTTGCGGGTAACTTGACGATGAGTTTGGTAATCCCCTAAAGACCCATCGACCCTAATCAGCAGGAAGTAGATAAAGAGGTCTACAGTCCTTTTCCCTAATAATCTCCTACCTAAGGTCAGGGGTTAGAAGGGAGGTAAAGGTGCTCAAGAACCCCAAATAAAGTAGGTTTTGTGAAAAATCTAAGCCCACAGACGTGATCCTGACAGACTGAGGCGATCCGGAGCTCTGAGGATGACCTATGAGTTTTTAGCACTAGAATATTTGTTTGTAAGCGGCAAATCACTTAGGAACACTTTTATTCTTTTGCTAATGTTGCCTAGATGCCTTATACAAGTGGGTTTAGATGGATCATCTTTGAGGCAACCATTTATTTGTTTATTCATTTAACCCATCTCCCTCCTCCTCTGTGTCCTCAAGGAAAAACCCTCAAGGTTTTATGCCCACTAAGTTGGGGGGGGCATTCATTGCACAGGACACTGTGCCATCTCTTGTGACTTTAAACCTACTTCCAAAGAAAGAGGATCTTGTAGGCGTGTGTACCCCAGAGCACGGAGGCAGACAGAGTGGTATGTGTGTGCGGATGACCAGCATCACAAACAACCCTTGAGGGACCATCCCTAGTTTATAGATTGCTCTCTTAGGCCTTATCATCCTGGGGAACAAGATGAAACCCTGATATTTAGGCACAAGGAACGGGCCCTGCTCTCCTAGACCTTGTAATCTCTAGATTCTGGTTCTGAGCATCTAGACTGGAGTGTTCACTTCTCCAGAACCGGAGTTCCCCACAATGCAAGTCTGTCCATCTTCTTTTCTTCAGTTTAAAAGGCACAAAGCTTAAGTTTCATCTAAATGTTATGCCTGAGATCTAAATAACAGAATCATATTCTCTGACTCACTTTTTCTTGTGGTCATATGGGGCCCTTAGATTTTTTTTTTTAATCAATTGCTCAGCTTCATCTTTTCTATTTTTATCTCTTAAGATGACAGGCTAGTAACCTTGTTTGGATTAAATACGGGCAGGGCTAATTGACTCAAAGGGTTAACTGCAATGGATCGACAACGAAAAAGAGGCTTTTCCCCTCACTTCCTTTTACTCAGAGACACATTTCATCTTATTTCTATCCAATTAAATGATATCATTCTCCAATACTGTTCACTTGTCTGTTCCATTGCCAGGCTCCATTCATTCCCCCAAATCTCTTCAGTCCTTAGGATCGCGTTCTGCTCTTTTACTAGAGACACATAACTCCTTCAGTCCGAGCAGAACAAGGTCCCTGCTAAGCTCCAGCCTGAGCTCTGGGGCCCAGGGCCGTGGAGCGCGCACAGCCGGAACGAGGACTGCGATGAATTTTACCAAGCCCAGCTCCAACACCTCCAGCTTTTCCGTTACGGTAAAGTGCTGTGCGGCTGCTTGAACAGCTGAAATGGAGGAAAAAAAGTTTTCCTTAACTGCTGGGGGCTAAGCCCCGCCCTCTCCCCCTGTACACTGCTCCTCTATTATCTGGGACCTGTGCACCCCTCACCCCCTCCGGGAGCCAGCACAGCGCCTGGCAGAGCAAGCTGTCTCAGTTGTTCTGGGCTGAGCTGAGCAGAACTTGGTGTTAAAGCTGCTGAAGGTAGGTGGCGGTATGGTACGTGGATTCCACGACTAATGTTAGATGGGGCCATTTAGCAACGCTAAACCTTTATCTCTGCGGATGGGGGCACGTCAGCAAATGTTCCACAGTCTCGACTTCATCATCTGTAAAGCGGAGCACGGCTCACCGTTATCCTGAGGATTAAATAAAGGCAATCTGTGAGAAACGCCCAACACACGCCTCTCCATAGTTGTAGTCACTGTTAGGTCACAAGCAAAGACGGATTGTTATGATGGCTGAGTAGAACTGAAGAAAAACTGAATGAAGATAATATTCCCCTAGCGGAAAAGTTGCTGACAAATTAACTGCAGATTTCAAATATCATAGAAGTGTGTGTGTGTGTGTGTGTGTGTGTGTGTGTGTGTGTGAAAACTGTTACCCCTTTAATTATTTTCATTTCTGTTAAGCCAAACCTGAAACCTGGGTTCAAGTATTTTGACGGGCTTCAGGGAGGATAATTTTGCCAGAGAGGAACTCAACTCTCTAATTGTGTTGACTGCAATAAAATTGGCGGTGGCAGCAATCAATCTCCATCAAACATGGCCCGGTAGACCAGTGTCTGTGCTGGTCCTTCCGGAGGACCGAGGACCTATTGTTTGCACTCAGTGGAGGTCCTGTCCCGGCTTTCGGAGGACTTGGAGGTCTTTCTTCAAGGGCAAAGGGTCATAGCTCCTAGAGAAAAGATCCACGCCACTGCCCAGTCCAGACCCATATCCCTAGACGAGGGCACGACACCAGGGGCGTCCAGAGGATTCCCTCCAGCCTGGAGGAGGAGGCTCCCCAGACGTTCCACCCTTCCTTCTAACTGTCCTGGGGTCGGGAGCAGAGGGTCAAGTTCTGCTGCGGGTGGGCACCCACGGAGCCCCCCACCCCAGGCAGTGGGTGCCCCTCCTCAAACCGCCAGTGGCCTACCCGCAGCGAGCGTAATCTCGCACCCCAGCTCCAGGCTCTGTACAGGGCTCAGGGGCTCGGGTGGGGTTCCGATCCGCCCCCCTCCCCATCCCTCGCAGCCCGGGTCCTGCGGCCTGGGGGGCACCGGGTGTGCACCTGGGCGGGGCCGAGTCCCCCGGCGGCGCCCCCCGCCCCCGCCGTCTGGCCGCACGCCGGGTCCCCGCCGCAGAGCCGGGGGAGGAGCGGCCGAGGCTGACTGGAGACAGACCCAGCCTCGGCGGGCGCGGTGGTAGGAGGCGCCCCCCCCCCCCCCCCCCGCCCCGGCCCGCCCGACAGCACCGGCGCTCTCCCTCCCCCCTCCCTGCCTCCCTCCCTCCCTCCGGTCAGCCGGCGGGGATCCCCAGCGAGCCGGGGAGGAGCCGCGGCGGCGGCCGCCAGACAGGCTGCAAGTCCTGAGAAGGCGAGGGGGGGGGGCGGGGAGCTCCGGGAGCCCGGTGGCAGGTCCCTCTTAAAGAGCCACGCCGCGCCGCGCCGCGCCACCCGGAGCGCTGCCCCTCCCCCGCAGCCCGTGGGGCTGGTGGCCCGACGCGCGGTGGGCGGTCCCGCTCACCCATCCGGGGGGCTGCGGCAGGTGAGTGTCGCCCGCCCGCCGCGGTCTCCGCGCCTGGCCGGAGTTCACCTCTGCGCCGGGGCGGGAGGAGAGGGGGGTCGGGATGCCAGGCAGCCTGAGCCGGACCGCCGCTCTCCTAGTCCCTGCGTCCCCGGGACCGGCGCACCGGGTCTGTGACGCTGTGTCTCGGGTGATCGTGGGGGGCGGCCGGGGCGCCTGCCCGTCCTCGGGAGCGCTCGGCTCGGCGTAGTCTTGCCCACCCGGGGACCCGATGTTCTGCAGGGTCCCGCTCTAGCCGCTTCATCCTGCGGCACCCAGCGGCCCGGGTGGGCGCGCGGGGGAGGGGGGGTGCCCGTCCCAAGCGGCGACGCTCCTAGGCCCGTGGGTGAGCTGCCGCGGCCGTGGGGGGCTGGAAGTCAGCGGCGACCGGGCGGCCCGAGCTGGCACCGCAGCCTCCCCCTGCACCTTTCGCCCGGGCGCCCGGGCTCCAGGCTTCCCAGCCCGCAGACCGTCTCTCCCCCCGCGCGCTTTGACGTCGGCTGCGGGCTGCCCGGGGCTCCTGGCATTGGCTGGCAAAGTCGATTGTCTGGGGCGGCTGCTGTTACACTTAGGCTGGGTCTCCGGGCCGGGAGGAAGCAGGCGTGTGTTGAATTTCTCTTTGACCCTCACGGTGGAATAAACAGGAAGCGGAGAGCACCCAGCCGGCCTCTGCGTTTGGTTGTGGCTCTGCGCTCTACGGGCTGAAGGAGGCTTCCCGGGACCCCTGCCCGGCGTGCCGTCTGGGCACGGCTGGGGGGCGCGCCCTGTGAGTACGCCGCTGGGAGACAGTGGGCTCTCTGTGCGTTAACTCGCTGTGGTGCCACAGAGAGCATTTGCTTGCTCGTTTTTAAACTTTTTCTTTTTGTCCTGTCTTGTCTTTCTTCTTCTTTTTCATTGCAAGGGTTCTCAGTGAGCGGAGGTTTCAGGACCACGGGGACGCATGGTGGGTGGGCATCATTCCAAGAGCCCATGCTAGGGGCGTCTGTTCCGGGTTACCTGGAGAGGCACTGCCTTGGCCAGTCGGGACAGTGAGAAACTCGTTAAAACAAGTGGGGCTTCCTAGTTTCTGCCCAGGCACAGGAGTGACTGCTGAGTGTCAGTACTTCAGTCAACGGAACTGACTTTGTTTTTCCACAAAGACTTTTAATGAACTAGAACGGATTATTTTGATTGGCTTTTCTTCCCCCCTGAGTCTGTCTCCCCCCCTTCTTTTCTAAGTATTTTGCCACCTTGCCATCCCTGAATTCCTTGCTAAAAGTTAGAGTTAATTATGACAGTGATATTTATTGGTGACCTTCTGTGTGTTAGGCATTGTGGGCTGTGAAGTGAGAGGTTGTTCTCAAGGGCCACACTTGAGGTGGAGCTGAGTAAAGAGGGTGAGCCCTGCTGGAGCTTCAAAGCGAGTGTTGGAGTGCAGAGGTAGCTTTCAGGGGCGCCAGGCTTTCCTAGCTCCCGGGGTTCAGTCCTAGCACCAGGTAAAAAAGTAGGGGCCGTGCTGAGCAAACACTGCCAGGCTCATCTTCCCATGGCTTTCCATTGGTTTGGGTGCCCCAAGCGTTATCCTCTCGTCTGTATCTGTCCTGGGCTTTCAGGACTGTGTATTGGATTTTCATGGATGGTTCTATGAAGACTCACCAAGCCAGGGCCTCATTTTGTATGGAAGAAGTTACAGTGTTCCCCTGTGGTTTAAACTCAGCTTACTGGCATCGTAAATCTGCCTTTGCTCATTCCTTTTGAAATGTAGAATAAATGTTCTGTAAAGAAACACTGTCAAATCTGAATCATTACACAGACAATGAAGGGGTCTAAGTATTACCAGTATTTATTGGATTTTAGTATTTGTTTTCTGTCATTCCAGGGAAGGCTTAACTCTTTAAGAAATTAACTTTGCTACCAATGTAGAACACAGCTAAGAATTAGAGCTGGGACTGTAAATGTCAGGGATTTACTGTAACGGAATTGTAGATACCTTCCCCTTGTTAAACAACAACAACAACAACAAAGCCAACAAACCCTCTAGCTTCTTGGTGTTCTGCCCCTACCCTTGTAAGAGCTCACCACCCTTGTCTATGATTCTAGGTCCTGTAGGTTTGTGTTTACGTTGGAAAGACTCATGCCAGCGGGTCTTTAGGGCTATCTCTTGAATCCACCTTTTGGGTGCTTGGTTTTCATAACCACGACCCTGTGGTGGAGCCCAGCCAGCGCCAGCTGCTTCTTAAGGGATTTTGTGGCAATCTGTTGGCACATCATTTGTCGTTCAACAGTCTTTTCTCCACCCGTCTCTGTTAGAATATATACATCCATAGGCAAATAGTTATTTCCCCTCAACTTGGGACTGTCCCGAGAATAGTTCTCTTGCCAGGCATGTTGAGAGCAAGGGCCTTCTTCAGAGGTTTGGGACTGTGCTGCAGTCTTGCTTGACTTAGCAGCCTGGCAGAGTCTAGCTCGTGGGTCACTTTCTTGTTTTTTATCTTGGTTGCTGGAGGACTGGATTCCTAGCCTGGCAGGGACGCAAAGAGAGGGAAGGATGACTTTTGTGCCCTGTCCATAGTTTCTGGCTGGCTGGCAAGTAAAGACCCCCAAACTCTGTATCCCTGTGCATATGCCCCACATTAAGTCAGTCGCTTTTTAGTGGTATGCAGGGTTGTCCTGGCATCATACGAAGCTAAAGCCCATAGGATTCTAGGTAGGAATACCTGCGAGTATACAGACCGGTTAGATCCTCATAGAAATCCTGGTCATGTTTCCTCTTTCCTTTCTCTGAGTCTGGGCTTACGGAGTCGCTAGGATATGTCTCGTTTGGGGTTAGAACTGACAGAGAAAACTCAGGAAGTAACAGCTCGGAAAGGAATGTGGCATTTTAACCTGGAAAATGTGAGAGTTATTCAACACAATTCCCATGGACACACGTATTAAGTGTTAATGGTGGCAAATTGCAGTGTTCCTATGTTTCCCTTTCCTTTCTTCGTCCTTTCATTTCTCCTTGGCTCACCTGCTCCCTCCTTCTTCAATCTTTCCCTTTTGTAGAAAAATCTCCCAGAAGCCATTATTCTCTGATGTTACTTTCTGCCAACATGGGCTGTGTTAGATGGGAAATTACATCTTGACCTATATTATGAGTGTACACGAGAAGTGAACCGTGAGTTTTAAAATAAGAAAATAGGGGCCTGGGGAGATGGCTCAGTCAGTAAGATGCTTGGAGTGCAAGCACAAGTACCTGGGTTAAGGTCCCTAGTGCCCATGTGGCTGCCAGTGATGAAGGACAGAGATGGACAGATACCTGGAACTTGCCGGCCAGCCAGTCCAGATGAATTCGTGAGCTCTAGATTCAGTGAGAGACCCTGACTCAAAAAATACGGTGAGGAGAGATTGAAGAAAAGATCTTATGTTGACCTCTTTTGCGTTGACATGCACACACACATACACACACACACACACACACGCCCCTCCCCCCCCACAAATAGGAATGGGAATTCTGCATACTATTTGAATTTTATACTCCCCAGCACCTGCCACTTTTGGGGGAGATTGTGTGTGGGCATGTGCTCCTGTGTACATGTATGCCGTTGCTTGTGTTCATGTTGGGCGACAGAAGTGAGTGCCTGTACTGTTCATGGCTACAGATGTATTTGGTTCAGATTTCCAATTAATACTGGTTTTCCTCTGTTACAGGAAGACTTGAGAATAATGTCTGTGTTGTTACACATCCATTTGATTTAAAGATAGATTGCTTTTCTTTGAAATGATACTTTGACCTTTTTAAGCTGTTTTTTCTTTTTCTTTTTCTTTTTTTTTTCTTTTTTTTTTTTTTTTGCTGTTGTTGTTTTCACGAGGACTTTTCTCTCCACCAAGCTTGTTTTCCAGCTAGATCTTGGAAATTATGAAGAATGTAGCTGTAATTTCTCCCTTGATCGGCAGTTGAGAGCTTTCCTGGACAAAAATAAGGCTCTACTGTGCCAAATGGTTGACTTTTCTAGAATAAAAACTGTAAAGGGTATGCAAAAGTCTTCTGGTTAATATATTGGTATTCCCAGAACCCACTAAACCCCTGACAGCCTGCCAGCATTCACTTAATGAGGACGCAGAATGTCTGGCTCAAATTCCCATGAGTAGAATGAGGTGGGGGTTGGATCTCCACACCCTTTATTAATTTTTAATGACTGTATTTTGTTTTGCAGATTTTACTTCAGTACCCCAGAACCCTCACAGCTGACCCCAAACTGGCCCCAACCCCATTCATTTATTTATATAGCATAGGAAAATGGTAAAGCGTTTGAGAGTGCTAACAGATCACTTCTGACTGCCTGGCTTCTTTCCTTGCTGGTTTTCTTTTCTTTTTTTTTTTCTTTTTCCTTAGTTTTTTTTTTTTTTTTTCTTTTTGAAAAGGAAGAGAGAAAAGGGACAGAAAAGACGACAACTTAAAAAAAAAAGAAATGATGTTTTGTTGTCAGTTGGGAAAAGAGAAGCATTTATGAAACCTTTAGGATTGTCAGACAGTTTATATGACAGTGCAAGTTGGTGCTCGCCAAGCTTCAGACAGATTGTTAATGTTACATGACAGGGATAAATAAATTACTGCTGTCTGCAACACGCTTGCACTGCAAACCCACTGTGCAGCCCAGCTGGCCGTGTACCGCTCCTGGGGCCTGGTGGAAGTGCAGCTGCTCAGGAGGCCCCTGCCTGGAGTGCTGAGACCTGGTTTAGAGGTGAAAAGGGTGTGTCTCCCATTTTTACTTTGGGCTTAATGGTAGAATCCACTTACCGGATATCTGTGCTCCCTAACCTCCCTTCCCTCCCCTTGTTTTTTACTAGGCTGCCCACCCCTGTCCACTCCTGACTCCATCTTGGTCTTCTGGTCCATACCCACATTCTTCTTCCCAGGAAAGGGAAAGGTTCGTAGCTGCACAGAGTCTGAGGTATTCTGCAGCCAAGTTCCAAGCTGTTTACAGTCATGTTCTTGATACAGGTACAGACACAAACTGTCTGCATGGGATGAGTGTGTGTGTGTGCTTCCCGGAAGGGGGGCTGGGTGGCACTCCTTGGGCATGATGTACTTTTATCATGGCAGTTTGGCGACTCAGCTGGCAGAGTGACAGGTGTAATGAAGTTAATGGTCTTGCTCTAGTTGTTAGTGGACATACTGCTCATATTACAAAGCCACCTCATATGCGGAGCCCCAGCCAAGTGATTTGCAATTCTCCTTGCAGATAGGACTCTAGGCTTGGCTTATTAAGTGACATTAAGGTCAGGAATTGGGTGGGTGTGAGAAATATGTGTGTGCCCTTAGCCACCCTTGTCTAACTGCGTTGGAGTGACTATTCAAAGCCTTAGAGAAGGAAATAACCTATTCCATCCCCTCTGGCTGGCCCTTCCTTCTCCTAGGGTGTGGTGGGGGACCCTTTGGTGTGTGTGGACTTCCTGCCCTTGGGGTTTGCAGAATGCAGGCTTCCTGCCAAACTGTGCTCGATCCTGGTTGCTTGCCGGCCACTCTCTCCAGAAATAGGCAGTTGCTGGGGGAGGCACAACTCGGCATTGTTTCTGTTGCCTGTGGCCCCAGGGACTGGTAACCTGTGCACAGAATCAGGGTGGCACTGTTCTGTCCAGGGCCAAAGCCAGAGCGCTGCTTTCTGAAGGGCTCCATGAACCTGGTCAGACCTGCACGGACCCTGGCACTTGGTCAGATCGCCTTGGCAGGATTTCCTCTTACGGGCATGCGTTTTTCTGCTGGGTTCCCTTCTTAGTGTACATCTATCAGCCAATAGAATCTTCACAGCAGACCCACAACAGACATAGCTGACATCTGCATTTTACCGACACAGGTCGAGAAGTTATCCAAAGTCATATAAAACTGTAAATGAAAAACATAGCCCCGAACAGCTTGGGCCATCTGGCTAAGTGATCTGTGGCTTTGACATTTTGGAAAAGGGCTGCACAGGCAGGCCACAGTTCTTCATCAGAGGCCATATGGTTTTAAGGAGGAATGTCCTGCCATTTCTCTACTTATCTCTCTGCAGGCCCCAGTGGGATTCTAGCCAGCCAGCATGCTCAGGGTCCTCCCTGCGTGCCTCCCCGTTTGATGTTTCTTCACCACGTTCCTTGCTCTGATCCTGCTCTCTGCTGTCTGGTCTGCGGCGAGAGCCTGGGTTCTGAGAACTGGAAAGTCAGCAGCTTTATGTCTGTTGCCTTGTACCTTCAGTTCCTTGAAAGAAAAGAAAGGCACACGCCAGCAGAGTGCTTTTCTGTGCCCTTCAAAACTACATCTGTTCCTCTTTCCACTGTGTGTGACTGCCCACTTCCTAGGGAGAAAACAGGCCCACAGAAGAGCATGCAGGGCTGAGGGGGAGGCCGGAAAACTTCAAAGTGTCCATTTATGTAGAAGGATCATGGAGTACCATTCCCCCCCTTTGGCTCACATTTGAAGAAACTTGAAATGAAGATTCTGTCCTTGGTACCCCAGGGTATCCATTAGTTAGCCACGCAGAGAGTTATACATTTATGCCCTGTAAATACTTGTGTATCTTGGACCAACACAGAGTCTGTATAGGTTTGAGATTATAGGAAGAGCTAAGCTTCCAAGATATGGGCATATAAATTTGGCTCTGACTGAACAGCCCTTGCTGTGTTTGGGTGATTCCTTGGAGTTGGAGCTACCGGTTGTGAGCTGAAATCCGAACTCAGGTCCTTTGTAGAGCAGTACTTGTTCTTGACTGCTGAGCTGTCTCTCTAGTCCCTCCTCTCTGGTTTTCTTGTTATTTTTAAAGAACAGTTTCAGGGCACGTAGACTGATATTAGTCTTCTCTATTATAAATAATATTTTACTGAAAAAATTATTAAAAAAATAGGATCTCATTCTGTAGCCCAGGCTGGCCTTAAACTTACTATTGTATCCCAGGTTGGGCTCAGATTCATGGAAGTCCTCCTGCCTCAGCCTCCTGAATGCTGGGATTACAGGCGTGAGCTATTATGTCTACTTTGAACATTTCTGTATTACATACAGAGGTTGAGTAGTTTTCTAAGAGGAAAGTCAGTGGAGATGAGGACTTCTGAGGGTCTTCCAAAAGTTGACAGAATGGATGGGGCAGCTCGCACCCCCACAGATAGAAGGGCTGCCCAGCGACTATGCCATGTTGACAGTAACCAGTGCCAACACCTTTGCATGCTTGTCAGTAAAATGATATGATTTTAATACTTTTATTTCTTGTTCTTACTGTTAAAAATCTTGGCTGGTATCATTTGGGTTATAGGTTTAAAACTTGCTGCTTGTTAAGGGCAAATGGAAGGATGTTTTAAATTTAAAGTATATTTTATTCAGATAGATTAGGGGTGCATTAACAGCCTAATCATAATTTCTGTGTTTCTAGCTATCAATCGTCTATCTGTCTGTTTACCATCTATCATGTACATATATGAACAATGACAGGATTTTATGGAAGTAGTGTTGTAGTAAATTAAATAAGGGCTGTTGGGCTATTTAAGGTCTATTATTAGCACTAAGATTATCACGGCGGAATTATTTAAACCACTATCACAAATAACAAGACACAGACACCTGTTAGATTTATACTCGCCTTATTTACCATGGGCCGGGCAGATATTTCACTTACACTGTCTTGATATCTTCACCATCCATCTCCCAGCCCCCATCCAAAGCCATCCACCTTAATCCTTCCTATGTGGTCTATCTTCCATTCCTAATCCCATGGCACTTGCTTGTGTTCTTCATCTGGGCCTTTTCACGCTGTTATTGGAGTTCTTCCTCGAAGCTCAGGTGGTTTTTTTCTCCATGCTAACCCACCTTGCCTCTTCCTTCCTCCTCTCTTCCTGTTCCTTTGTTTCCAATGATTTCCTGTCCTCCAAAGCCCAGGCACCATAGCCACGCCTACCTCTTTCTGACCTGCCCAGGTATAGGCTGTTTAATCAACCAATCAGATATGTCTTAGGCAGGTTTACAAAACAAAGATAGGTGTAACCAAGTCTTAAGGGTCAGTAACATGCATCAGGCCAACCTCCAACACAGGAGACTGCCCTTTTTTTTTTTTTTTTAAAAAATTATTTATTCTTATTTTATGTGCGTTGGTATTTTGCCCAAGTACATGTCTGTGTGAAGGTGTCAGGTCCCCTGGAACTGGAGTTATGGACTGTTGTGAGCTGCCATTCGGGTGCTGGGAAACGAACCCAGGTCCTCTGGAAGAGCAGCCCCCAGGAGACTGCTCTCCGTCTTTCCTTATTATTGTACTCTCCCTTTATGAGCGTGCACTTGGAGTCACAGTAGAGAAATGAGGGCCTGGAGAGGACATGGGTTCAGCATCTGAGTGCTGGTTCAGCCAGGTAGCACCTTGTCCAGTCAGTTCTCTTTGACCACTGTTGGAGAGTGATAGGTCTAGTTTATTTGTGTCCTCCACCAAGGGCACAGACTTAACATGCCTTTGTGTGTATCAATCAATGGCCACTTCTCTGTGCTACATGTTTGTGCCCTCAGCGGGAGCACCTCATGTTCTCTGCACCTGTGCTCATGTCCAACAAAGGTCTCAGCCCATCCAGACTAGTAGGCGACTCAATAATGCCTTGTCTCCCAAACTGCTTGCTCCTACGTCTTGAGGGAGATGAAAATCATTTTAGTGGGGTCTGCTTCCTTGAAGTCACTCTTTCATTGAAAGCTTAGAAACAGCTAGCCTATTTGTGGTACCTGAAGGGTAGAGGAAGACATCGCTGTGCCAGGGCTGGTTGTAATTAGTGTAATACAGCTATCTTCACAGGCACCCATGTCCCTGAGCTGGGGGAACTGGCACATTGGAACTGCGTGGCATTCATCTGTCCTGTCGGTGTGTGTTGGGGGCCTGAGTCAGCATGCCCTCCTGCCTGGTAGACAGTGGTCAGGGTCCAAGGGACTGTGTAGCAGGTCTGTTTCGTGTGAAGCCTTCCCAGAAGTGCTCAAGGGTGTTCTTACATGGGAAGACAGACTGCAATGAAGTATAGTGACTGTCTGCTCCTGGAGGCACTGTGATCCATCTACCAGAGCTTTGGACCCCAGAGAGGGTTCTTCTGTGTGCTGGAGGTCCAGTGAGTGCCATATCCTTCCCTAGGCAGGGACCTGCGCGCACAGATACTGGGCAGTGTGGATGGTATTGTACCTATACAGTGTGCTGGCTAGTTTTATGTCAACTTGATACAGGGTCGAGTCATTTGAAAGGAACCTCAACTGAAAAAAAAAATGGCCTTAAGACCTAGCTCTAGGACATTTTCTTAACTGTTGATTGATGGGGAAGGGCCCAGCCCATTGTGCATGGTGTCTTCCCTGGGCTGGTGGTCCTGGGTTCTATAAGAAAACAGGCTGAGCAAGTCATGAGGAGAAAGCCGGTGAGCAGCACCGCTCTGTGGTCTCTGCATCAGCTCCTGCCTCCAGGTCCCTATCCTGTTGGAGTTTTTGTCCTGACTTCCTTCAGTGATGGACTATAAGTGTAGAAGTATAAATCCAATAAACCCTTTCCTCCCCAAGTTGCTTTTGGTCATGGTGTTTCTTCATAGCGATAGTAACCCTAACCATAATCATAATCATAACTATACAGTTATTATTAGCCTCGCATAGCACATTTAATTCAGGAAAAGGGTGAACAATAAGCCAAGGTAGAGTTACTTCATGGAGCCCTCAGTGCCTGGGTCTGCAATGCAAATCCTTGCTACAATAAAGGGTATGTATTTAAGCTCTGAGTACACTTAGATCGTTGAGGAAGGTCCCTGTCCTGATGGTCAAGGCTGTCCCTGCCTGATCCATTGAGGAAGCTGAGCTGTCGCAGGGACTTGAACATATTCCCTGGGGTGACGGCCCACAGCCACGTGGGAGGATTGAGCAGACCTGTGGCCCCGAAACCCCCGTAGGTCTCACCTCCGGGGCTGGCTTTCACCTGCTGCTCCTCTGTCCATCCCACTAGAGTTCTTGTCCTGTTGGACTGCTTGGAGGTTCTGTGA